CTTCATCTTCTTCATCTTTCTTTCTTTTTCTTTCCTTATCTCTTTTTCTCTCCATCTCCCACTCTTGCCCGTAGTGTATCTTCCTTTCTCTTTTCCTATTTTCCACCGAGCGTCCAACATCTCTGACCACTTGATGCGCACCTTTTCAAACAGATAAGTGATTCGAAGTGCGCGTAATTTGCGGATTCGCCTCCATAGGAATACTTCGTACCCCGTAGCTTTATTAGCGAGCATCATCGAGAGTGTATCCCCGTCATTGTCCCTTATCGTGAGTTCTTATCAAGCTGAATCAACCTCGAGAGGTCCTTCGATCGAGCTTCTATCCTTCGCTGCCAGACTACGTAGGATATAATTTCTTGTCTACCGTCTGCGAATCTTTTTTGTTTTTTTTTTGTTTTATTTTTTTCTTATTACATTTCTTTTATATGCATTGAACGTATCTCTTCTTCTTTTTCTTCTTCTTCTTCTTCTCAATATAAAGATTCCTAACTCTACGAGAGAATCCGATAACAGACAACGTCATTGCATTTTCAATCAGACAAATTATACCTGATCTTATCTTGATACGATTAAGCTATTTTGTTTTGTATAGAAAACGAATCTATCTTTATTTTCATCGGATATTTTAAATTATTCCTTACGATCATCTTAACTAATCAATAATCCAATAAGATTTATATGATTATTCATCAGAGTTATGATTTTCTCATAAATTAATAAATAAAACTCATTAAAAAAAAAAAAAACCAGTTGGTATTTCAATAAAAGAAAATATTTAAAAAAAGAAGACATTCGAAAAAGTAACGAGAATTACCCCTCCCTATTTTATTATCATCGATATACTCCCTATCACAATTATTAAAAGAACTAAGAAATGAGCTCCTACTCGATTTGTTATAGCAAAACAATAATTTAATTGCAAACCTTCAAATTTTTTCAAGTAATAAAACATAAAAATGATTGACAGAACGAAAAATTAAAAATATGCTAATTATACATAAAAATTAGGACATTTAGAAAAATAAGCATGATTTAGATAATACATAAGAATAAAATCAATTGAGCCTCCCGAAGGTTACTATAGCGGTCTTCTCCTTTCAAAGCCGTTTCCTTCAATTACCTCGCTACACGATACTCGTTAGTTCCATCGATCTATCGATCGATTGATCGAGAAACGACTTGTTTCAAAGAATTTGTCGTCCAATTATTCCAAATAAACGATCACACATTTATGGTATTAATAGAACTTGTAAACGGATATTAATTTAAATTTTGTGACAGCATTTCATTTATAATACCTACACATATAATATAATATACGTAATAAGATAAATGTTAATAAAAATAGATCTTTTATATTGCATTAAACGTATTTCATTTTCACAAATTTTCTAACAATGAAATTTCATACTTGCACGCATAAATCGATAACTCGCGTTATGCGATTCTTTTATCAATTCATAACATTCAATATACTTAATTCCAAATAGATTATTCTTACTTTATGATTAATTTAAGTCAAGCAAATAACAGCTGTCATCTAGATATCCTATTAACAAAAAAGATATCTTATTGTTAGTATAAATAAACTTCTTTAAATAGATCTCGAAAGTTTATCAATATATATATATATATATATACACAATACTTATAAGTAATAAGTGTATAAAATATTCAAGATGATATTAATAGTTATTTTCTAGATAATACATAGTAAAGGACTTTATGCAAAATTCTCCATAAATTATATTGATTTGCGCTACCAAACACGGTGATAAGACGTCAGTGAATAATTGATTGAAGTTGAAAATCAAATTATATTCAAAGAACAAAGATAGAAGAAAGGAAGGTGACAATTAATTGTATTAGCCACTATGGCAATTCACCAAAAGACAAATTTATTCGTCGAAAAGGTAAGAAGAACATCGAGATCCAATAATGACCGAATTCTCTAATGTAAAAAGAAATCAATGTGAGAAAAGTTAAAAAGAGATAGGAAATAAAGAGAAAGGTCATTTACCCCTTTTCCTAGGGAATCTCTTCATCGTGAAGTAGTCAGAGAAACGTGGATTATCTTGCTTCTCTCGAGCAATATCTTCGACTACCGTGCTTGACAATCCCAAGTGCTTTCGATTCTATTGCCGACAAAGTGGATCTGATGGATGTCTCAAAGATGACTCGACGATTCAACTCAAGAAACTTACATACGTTCGAACGAGATAGATATTTCCCCACTTGATGCAAAACGTAGTGCGAAATGAGAGAATACGATAAACTACGATAAAATATACTTAAAATATATATATATATATATATAAATATAAAATGATAGTCATCACCTCAGTTTAGAGTACATTCCGATGGAAAAATTCGACCAATGATTCTTAAGAGATATTATCACGATCAAAAATAAATAAATAAAGATAAATGAAAGAATTATTCTTATTCTGTTAATTTCCAACTTGTTCGTGAAACAGTCGCGAAAATTTTCAAGTTAAAAGACTAAAAGTTATTTGCACGCGAATTAAAGACAGAATGGATATTTTCTTTCTTCGTGTATTTCTTTATTTTTATTTTGAAACTTTAGTGATAAAATATCCTGTGTGATATTCATTATTATTTTTGAAGCACAACGGAAAGAAATAAACGTATGAAATAAAACGAAAGGATGCGTGCGTCATAGTGGTTTAAGGATGATGAAGATACACGTCCTAACATTTCTCGACATCGACCGCAGACTGTGTTGACACGCATGCATAAACCCAATGGACCATCACCAACAGTGTTTACGATTTCAATTATTGGTCGAATCTGATGGACGGTGATCACCATGATACCGATTGCTTCCTGGTGGCTGTTTACACTATCCAATGGTCACATTCTACGTACGAACAGGCATACATGGAGAAGCTACGATCGGAAACGATTCGCCATGCTCGATCATCGAGCCAGTAGCGGGATAATTAAAGCTCAGCTCGAAAACAGTAAAGGTTGGATGAACTGGTTCGTTAGCGTGGAGGACAAGAACACGATGGTGAATCGAACGCTCGTAATTTATCAGCCTGTGATACCGCTGACGCGATGATAATTAATTATTTAACATTTTTCTCCATTTACTTAACGTGGAACAATGATGACAAGAATGACGATGACAATACGATTTACGAATATTACATCAGTTATAATGGACAAAAGTCATAGGAAAAACTATCAACGATTAATGTATAAATGTGTAATACCACGTACCATCGTATCAATTACTATGTAATGTTTTTTCATGTCAAAATACTAAAACAAATTTATATCCCTTTTTTACCAATCGTAAGTGCTCTTTCAGTGACAATTTTCAATTCCTAGAAAATTACGATATTGCGTGTATTTTTACAAAAAAAAAGAAAAAACAGAAGACATAATAGTTTCTAAGAAATATCATAAATGTAAGAAGAAAAAAAAATTTCTTCGGAAAAAGTTTGCGTTTAAACCGCTTTCAACGTCGTCAGCAAGTGAAGTAAGTACGAATAACACGCCGCAGTAAGTTTTACTTTGAAAATAGAGCAACGAAGAAGCCGCGCAATGACTCAGAGAGAATTCCATCCCCAGTGGAACTAGTCTTTTCCCTCTCTCTCTCTCTTTCTCATGTAGAAATTAGTGATAATTATAAGGGTCCGGTGGCTGCACGCAGGTGTAAAAAGCCATTCTCGTTGACGCGGAGAGCTGGTTTCGCGCTAAAAAGACGACGAATCCCGAAGGATATGACTCATGGCGTCTTTCAGGATGATTCAGATGCTAAAGGTAGAAGGTTCTCATGCGAATATGATGGGTCTCGATTTTCAAACTGAAATGTTATTTATCATAAGTTAACATGTAACAATAATTAAAGATAAAACGACATTTTTACTTGGCTGCTGCTAGCGATTCGATCGGTGCTTAAAAAAACCAACAAAAGCGATAGATTTAGTGAGCGACTTAGCGCTATACGTGACAGGTGGCGATTAGTTTTATTACCACTAAAGGATCGTATTCGTCTTACGATGCACCCCGCTTCTCGAATGATTTGCCTTTCCACGAAGTGTCTCTCGTAAAGCTAAGCAGTGCCTCACAGAATTTACGGTCTTCGTTCGGTTAAAAGGGCTAAAACTTTTAACGCCCACATTATCCTTTCGACGATTTCTACCTGATTGGACAGCCATGAGCGACCTCCATAAATAATCTCAAAAATAAAGCAAGATATGGCCCTTTAAGATATACATTATATATTCACGACAGCATCGCAAAAAAAAAAAAAATATCCTTAACTCTGTCTCGTACTTTCGCGAAATTTCTCAAAGAAGATGATAATCAATACGATCTTGTAAAGTAATTAGTCTCATTTGTAAATGTTCGCATCTTTGTACGTGCACGAGCATGCACAAAGCGTGCAAAATATCGCTCTGTAATTAAATTAATTGTACTTCTCTACATAAATCCTGACAAGTCATCTAATTAAAGAAATATCATTTTTGTGTGTAGGATTTAAATATACATTTATATATACAACATCTATAAGCATAAGATTTTATAATAGCAGTTACCAAAGGTATTTTTTTTTGTTTTGTTTTTAATCGAGCATACGGACCGTAACACCGTCAAAGGAACATGAAACAATGAAATCTCTCAGAAACATTCTACCATGTGCAATAATATCAAATAATGATAAGAGATTGGACATGAAAAAAGATTCAATCTAAAGTACAAGCATAGCCGTTGTCGCGACAACTTTCTGTTCCTCTTAAAATAAATGTGGTCAGTTTACGGCTTATCTGCTTGAAAAGTCGAGTTTCGCGCGCTTTTATCGATCTATCCTCGCTGGTATCTTACATTGCCTTTTTAAGAGATTCGCTGTAGAATAAAGTAAATTTCTTCTCCGTGAGTTCTCCGCCGTTCCAAGACACGGAGAACACATAAAAACATTCGAAAATGATAAGAGATTCGTGCGATTGAGATAAAAGGTTACTACTCACCCTTTAGCTGTGTCGTCTCGATTGCGAACATGTTCAGAGCCAAGAGTTGTAGCAAGCGCGTGCCAGGAAGCGGTAACGGCGAGTGTTGCAGCAGAGCCCTGAATTCTTTTAACATCTGTACGCCGGCTTCTTGAAAGGTTTCCATTCTGAAAAAGAAAAAGAAATATATATATACACTTTATATCTTTTTTTTTTTAATTTCTAATATATACATATACACGTTTATTACCTATCTAAACGAGTCAACATCATGAGAGAAAGATCATGTATGTAACTTCGATAAATAAAATACGAGTTCATATCATTCGAAGTATGACCTGAGAGATATACGATATAAATACAACGCTTGACGGGAAAATCGATACGACTGGAAGATTGTACGGTAAATAAATGAAAACTCATCCGAAAATACAACCAGCCACGGACGTTCGATAAATTATACATATTTTAGAAGCTTCGGTCTGGTTAACAGTCGTCGTCGTTGTCGTCTTCGAAAATTATCCAAAGCTTTCGTGATATTAAATATATCTTCAAATCAGCATAGTACTGATATTGCAAATTTTCATCGATTAAACTAATTGTCATATTAGGTTCCGCGTTATATAACCAGTGGATAAATAGTAGAGTACTGAACTGTTTCATAAGGAAGCATATCTATTCACGAGAAAAGGTCATAGGTCTTTTTTAACATATTTATATTACCCGTTAGGTAAATCGTATATCAAAGACCCTGGGTCAAGTCAGCGTTACAGCCACTTAAACAAGTAGACTGCCAGTAAACAAATGAAGCCGCCACGATAATATAAAATATGACCACTTTAAATATGTGAATATATGTAGAATATGCATCAAAACGCAAGATATTTTACTAGAGAGGATAGAATGTAAAACTTATTACTTTATACCGAGTTGACTTTTTCGAGACAGAAGAAAAATGTAAAAACAAAATACCTTATAGTGCTACCTTAAAATAGCAACAGAACGAAGTACGAACACGTACAATAATAATGCTAATTGTAAAAGAATGTACCAACTAGAGAAAAAGATAAACGGGATAGCAAGTTACTACTGATGGACTGAATAAATGCGATGAATATTAAGCAAGGTTTTTCAGTTGAAGAATTCTGATCTGATGTAACACTTTTTCGATAGCGTATAGTTTTCCTATACAATCATTTACGATGAATATGAAAACAAGTCGTTTGTAATAATAAAAAAAAAAAAAAAATTAAATTAATAAAATAAATTTTAAATCTTTTATATTTCTTCGCACGATAGGATAAATAATTTTTGTTTTTCTTTACATCCAAGACGTTCTCAGAACATCTATATTTTCTCACGTCAGGCAAGACGATTATTATCTTATTGATTTTTAATATCTTTTCATTAGTTGCGAGAGGCGAGTGCAATGCGACTTCGCATCGGTTTATGACCTTTACTTGATATAAATTCACTATACTTTATGTTTCCCCTTAGTATTACCAATGAAAAGGTACGTACGCGTATTCAATCTGACAATCGGTTAATCGTTCTCTTTGTATCCTTGAATAAAGATGGAAGGATGGGCGTTCCAACGGTCAACGTTTTACTAAGAGAACAATGCCGATATTGATTTCATCGTAATATGGCATGGGAGAAGGGGGGGGGAGAACCACGAAAGGAAATCTCAATACTAATTATCGGTATATAACCTGTAATAGTGTCGTCCGTATCTTGGAACACCAACTCACAATATAGATCTTGCCTTAGGCAATTCCAAAACGCGAGTAACATGGCGTGTAATATATATATTTTACAAACGCGAAATGTGCAATACGTGTGTGGGCAATGATCAGTAACAGAAGCTCCTTAACGTGGGTGTGCCCTGAAATAAGATACTTCACAGTCTTCTCTCTATCTGGTACTAACCGTACCATATCCGATCGAATGACCGGTTTGAAAATTACATTTAAAAATGTTACATCCATTGTTATTCTTTTTCAATCATTTCATTTTATAGCCAATCCTTTAATTATATTAATTATAATCCAAGACATCGCAAAATGAATGTCTTAAGAATAGTTATAATAATTTCTTAGATCTTGTAAAAGGTTACATTCTCGCCAGTGTCCGGTCTTCTTCGAGAAAGTTTCTTGTAGTACCTGGCACGCTCATTTGATTGAATGTATTTTACTGGTCACCGCAACCAGTGAGTCGCTTTTATTCGCCTGGTCGCCATGACCAAGTGTGTACACGCTCATATATTCTAATGTATCTAATGATCGTCATGGACTGGTCGACAGTGCGCATGAAGCCTAAAGCGTTTCCAGATCCCATCACTACTTGTGGACTTAAGCCAAGATAGAATCCTCATAAAGATGAAAGAGAAACGATGGTCGGTATCGTTTCTAAACGCTCATTATCTTTCCCACAGCCTTTCCTTTTCCAACTTGTTTCTTCATTCTCTTCATTCTCTTCTTCTTCATTTCTTTCTTCTTCTTCTATTTCTTTCCTCTTCCTATTCAGTCGTTATATAGCACGATGCACAACAGTGGCAAATTTACGATACGTAACAGCTCATTCGACCGTTGTAATCCAAATGACGTAAGCCTTTTGCTGTACACCCCTACCTTTCTTGCATTAACACGTGCAACAGGTCAAGCAATGACATTGTTTGAAGATTAGGAATGATACTACCTGTTCGGAGTCTATCTAACCAAGCTAAATCGTACAAGTTTATGTATTCTTCTCTGTATGTATACGTGTGTGTTAATAGGGCAAAGAACTCCATCTTCCTTCCTCTTTTTATTTCTTTCCGTAACCCCCACCCCTTCTGTCTCTCTTTCTCTTTCTCAGTATCATTCTCTCTCTCTCTCTCTTGTCGTTTCGACCTCTCGGCGATCGGTCGTGCGACGTGTCGACGTACCGTTAACCGACGGAGAATTCTCGATCAGACCGTAAAGAAACGTCCCCATGCCTTTCCACAGCAGATTCGTCGTCAAGCGGACCTTTCCCGTGAACCACAAGAGAGGAGTTTGTATCGGTATCTTCTTCTTACGAAAGATCGTAAGAGTACACACCGAGGACCTCCCTTCCTCGATCATGCTTCTTACACGATTCTTATAGCACCTATTCTAGACGAGAAGAGAGAGAGAGTTAAAACCGGAGTCAGAGCATATAAAGACGTTTGAGGTCGACCACTGGTAATCAGCCTCCAATCGGTGAAACGAAGCTGGCGATTACTAAGTGCGCTGAGCGTGCTTAGATCGTTGCAGAAGCAGTTAACGCGGTTGCTATCCCACGAACAACGCGACTACTGAAATTAGATACTCCAGCAAGAGGAATTGATCAAGATGCATTCACACGGTTGTCCGCTTTAACGGCCATTTTATATTCGTCAAACACCGTTACTGATAGAACAGCATCCTCATGAAAAGAGAATAAACGAAACACCATGCTCGTAATAAATCCGTATCCGCTCGATTAAGCTCGCTTGTTTGCAATTAAAAAGGATAATTGCGTGCTAACGCATAAAGAATAAGCAAAAGGGTAAAAAAACGAGAGAGAGAGAGAACGACCTTCTATCGATATTTGATTGGAATTCTCGGCACAGTAAAGCCTACTTCTTTATTAACGATGCGCACTTATTGTTAGATCCAAGAATATTCCAATTTCGAGATAATATCGCAATAGTGCTATAAGGTTGGTTGTGTCCTGATTACCTGGCTTTTATTTATTTCACCTTCTAGTGCCCCGTCATTGGATGGAAGGAACAACCCTTTAATCGATCTCTCCAATATTCTTCCTAATATATCCAATTACGTATTTGCACGGTCTGTACGGTAATAAATTCATTTTACGACTATCAGTAAAAAGCGCGTTTCTTGCACAATCATTTGGTCGTTCGGTTTATTTTACCAAGCAGAGGACTTATTCGTTACATCTTCGTTTCACTTTATGAAAGGAAACAACGAAAACATATTTCGGTATGACCAAAGCAACCTGATACTCGAAGTAAACTTGAAACGAGTTAATAAAAAGAATCCAAAATACAAAAGCTTACAAACACAAATCAGATTTGTGAAAAACTTGACAAGAACTAATTTTAAAAGATATCATTGATAAATGATCCTCGATTATTAGAAGATACGAAACTAATGCTTTCGAGATACAAAGTTTGAAGTAAAAACGCGTTCAATCCGATCGTATCAGTTCGTACTTGAGTACAAAATCCAGATCGTAAGGATAATCAAACTATTTCTGATACAACGTTTAACATATCGAGCATAATCGATCGAAAAAAGATAACAGGTTGATATTAAACTTATGTATCTCAATAATAATGATCAACCAGTATCGTGTGTTGATTCAAATTGAAAAACGTGTCTCCTCATACCCACGGCAGTTCGATTAAGTTTATGACATTTTTATGATCACTAAAAAAGAGATTATAATACGACCAAAATAACTTAGAAAATCTTAATAAGGCTGATCTTATGATAGCTTTACTATCGATTGGACCACGTGGATAAAAAGATAAATGAATGTTTCTCTTTTCAGCTTAAAGCACGTATCATTGCAATGATGCAAGATACTCTTCACACAGAATAAAAAGAAATACTTCTTACGATAACGTGCCAAGTTCTACTGTACTCCCGTAAACATGAAAAAATATTGGCGCCAGTCTTTACAATACCGATCCTTCCAATTAGTCGATTGTGAATAAATTGTTCCTTTTCATCGGAATGAAAAACGTAGGACCGTTACAATGAAGAAAATCTTGAATAACCTAGCAAGCAAACGATAAATGATCACATCGTTGAACGACTCGCAATTAGAAACTTGAGACTATGATCATCAGCGGAGGTTTTTATCATTGTTTCGTCGACATCATCGCGATTACCGACGTTATTTAAAAAGATAAGCAGCATCCCTCCTAATCATTTTTCAACATTGTAATGCCGAGACCTCATATTCGCGAGCAATTAGTTTAATATTCGAGAAAGAAAGACGGAACGAGTTACAAGGAGGTCCCCGATAGCACCCAGAGCTACGGAGATGAGAGAGTGTAGGAGAATAAGGAGGTGAAACCAGTGGAAGGAGAAAGAGAATTGCACTTTAGGGCATAACGGCATACGGCCAGGATCCACGGTCGCCATGTCACGGA